GTCAAAATGAGATACAATCAATCCAACTTGGAATATTGTCACTATCATTTTATTTATTTTTATTTTATATTTTATGTCAATTAAGACATACTCCCTCCCTCCGATCACACGATAACTATATATTTACTTTTGATGCGGAGTTTAAGAAATAATAATATTTTAATTATAGTGGGTATGTAAAAGTAGTGTAACGATATTTTTATCTTTACTTTGTGGTATAAAAGTAATGATGTGATGTAAAGTAACTGTATTTGTAGAAAAAAAATAAATATTTAATGAAATAATTATTTTATAATTGAACGTTCAAAAATAGAAATATATATTCTTTGTAGTTGGAGGAAAGGAGTACATTATTGGCACTTCTATTCAGTCAAACAGTGCCCAAATAATTAAATACTTAGAACTCATTAATTAGCTTCCATGGTTTAAATAATATTAAAAATATTATTAAACAACTAGCAGCAACTTCGTCCCGTAACAAATATTTATTTATTTATTTATTTTTAGTCTTTGCCAAAACAAAATAATTATTTTTTTTAATAACTGTATTATCTACCTATCATTATAAATACCGCTACAATTTACGATGTATTATACAAATGTCATTACGTTTATACTACACAATACTAATAAAGTTATTTTAGTTATTTCTATTATATTTCTATTACATCTTAATATAATATTAATATTTTTAAAATTCCGTACAAAAAGCAAACAGATACATAATTTTGGAACCCAAGGAGTATTTTAAATAGTGTAATTTAATAAAATAATTACAATAGTTATAATATTATTTTATTATTTTTTTATATAAATTGTGTTGTTAGTATTTAAAAATTAATATATGATAAAAAAAAAAATTAAAATATGTACTTACATATTTTAAATATAAAATAAAAATATTTATTTACCATTGATAGATATAGAAATAAAAAAGTTTTGAATGATCCATAAATAATAAATTTAAAATTTTATTATATTGATTTATATTTGTTAAATATTTTTAAAATTAGTTATGTGAAACCATTAAAGAGAAAAAGATGTCATATATGGCTGGACAAAGAGAATATTATTCTAAATTATAATCAAACATAAATAACAAATTGAAACGAAATACTTTGAGTTTATTGAAATCAATATTATTTACTGTACACAATTTCAATAACAATATACAATTTTATTTCATATGAACAGAGGTGTGTGTTCTTATACATTGATTTTTAAAAAATACTCTATCCGTCCCAAAATTATAGTCTTATTGTGTTAGACACATAATTTAAATATTGATATTATATTGGTAGTTGGTAAAAAGTAAGGATAAATGACTTTTTTGCCCTTGTGAGTATATTAGTGTAAAAAGTAACGGCAATTGTGTAATAATAATGAAAAAATAGAGATAATTGTACGATGATATGATTATTTATGAAAATGAAACTATTGTTTTGAAACGGACAAAAATGGTAAACAATACTATTGTATTGAGGTAGAGGAAGTATTTGTTTAAAAATATTTAAAAAAAACAAACAAATAAATATGCATAGGAACAAGCAACCAAACAAGGCAAATTTGTGTTTGAATGTTAGATTGGAAGTTGAGTTTGATATTCAAACAGTAAAAATTCAATTTGATTAAAAGTTTTATGTTATAATAAAATTTAATTTAATATTTTTTTTTTAAAAAAATAAAAATAGTAGGATTGAGATTGAATCTACCTCCAAACACACCAAAATATCCCATTTTGTGCATGAAATATATCTAAGAAAATGAATTAGATTCGGCCGGAAAAATTTTCATAGTACACCCAACGAGTAACGGTTGCCGATTTTTATATTATAAGAACCAAAAGATTAAGGGTGTGTTTGTTTGGGAGATTGGATTTTAATCCCACTGTTCATCCAATTTTTTTCCCCCAAAAACATCAAATCAAACACCTATTTTTTATTTTTTATATTATACTAAAAATCAATTTTACATTTAAAACATCACATCAATACCTACTTATATCACATCATACAACTATTCAAATTCAAAATTTTTACTATTCAAATCTCAACTCAATATCCAAACTCCCAAACAAACACACCCATAAACCCCAAATAAATGAAAGAAATAGCCCAATGTATTTATATTCAATTTTTTTTTTTTTAACCGTATAATCAATGGGCTTGTTTTTTCACTTATTTTTATTGTTCAAATAAAAAAATTTTCTTTCTACTGATTTCACAAAATAAACACACCCGTAATTTTCTGTAAAAATTTCCAAAAAAATTAAGTCAATTTTTCTTTGTTGGTTCTAAACTTATTTTTATAATTCATTTATACTAAAAAAAATATTTATATACAATTTTATTACTTATAATTTAACAAAATTATAATTCTTTTATACTCCCTCCGTCCCATATTTATATATCCATTTGTTTTTTGTTCGAAATTTTAGAAATATTAGTATTGGGATAAAATAGGAATAAAGGTAAAAAAACTAAATTAACCCTGTTAGTATTGTATGATATAAAAATAATGACATTGTGTAATATATTGTAAATTGGAAAGATATTTGTAATGTTAGGTAGATAGTACAATTACTAAAAAAAAAATGAATACTTTATTATTGGACAGACGAAAATGAAAAAATAAATAAATTGTTAAGGGATGAAAGGAGTATTAAATTTATATAAAAAATATTCTATGATTTTTTTTTTATAATATTCTCATTTTATTTCTTTTTACCTAATTTACATTTATGTTAAAATAATATTTGATCTATTTCCAGCTAATTTGTTCATTCAGTTGGGGCACAAAATTTTAAGTATTATATACTATTTGGTAAGTAATTTAAAGTTATATTAATAAAAATAATTATAAACTAAGATTAAAATGTCTAAATAGTTTAATTTTTTTTAAAAATATATAATTTATTAATTTAAAAATGTGATTAAAGTATATATTTCTAAATAACACAAAGACATATTATGTGGAACGAGCCAAAATAGAAAGAGTAAACAAATTATGTGGATAGAGGGAGTATTGTTCATTGTTTTTGTACCCATATGAGACAAAATTTTGGGGTTTTGATATTAAAATAATATATGATGAGATATTTAATGAGATAAAAAGAATGCTCCAACTCAAAGTACCACTTTTACCATTTTCGCTCATCTCATTCCAAAAGTGTCTATTTCTTATTTTAGTAAAAGTAATCATACACCAATACCAAAATACCCTACTTTTACCTAAATTACAAATATACAATTATTTTTTACATAAAGTTCAAAAACAAAAATGTCAAAACTTCTTACACAATTCAACTAACTAATAAACTACTATTATTTATTAATCTAGTGTAAAACCCCAAAGAGAACTTTTGAACTTAGACAAAAGAAGTACTCCCTTCGTCCCATTGAAAGGTTACCATTTTTCATTTTTGTCCGTCTCAAAATAAGGGTATCATTTCCTAATTTAGTAATTGTACTACCTACTTAACATAATAAATACCCTTTCAACTAACAATATATTACACAAATGCCATTATTTTTTATATTACACCATACTAATAGAGATATTTTTGTCTTTTTTACTACAATCTAATATAATACTAATATTAAAAAAATTTACGTGAAAAAAAAAAACGTCACGTGGACTGGGTTTTTCCAATAAATACTATGTAAGCAAACCAAATGCTTCATTTAAGAACATAAGAAAGTTCCCCTTTATGTGAAAGTGGGGAAGATAAAAGATAATGACTTGTCACACCCCAAACAAAGACATACACAAATACTATTAGGTATACTTATTGCTTTAGTAATTTAATTTAGTTTAATTGTATTATAAAAGGATAATAATTCATTATTAAAGTAGAGAATTAACTTTTTGGGGAAAAGTTCCAAGTGGGTATAATTTATTTTATTAACAATAATAATAATAATAATAATAATTTATAGCATATTTATAGTAGAAGGCACAATCAACAAACCACTTGGAGTTGGAGTTGGAGTTGGGAGAATAACTTTTACACTGTCTGTCTGTATGTATCTATTTATGGGGTAATCCATTTGGATTATCCACTCACTACCCACTTGTTCTCTCTCAACAATCCCCATTCTTGAAAATAAATAAATAAATAGAGAGATGAAGCTATATGTAAATTATTTTTGAGAAATTATTATATATATATAATAATATTGTGGAATAAGTCAAAATAAAATAAAATAAATTCCGATCAAAAAAATAAATAAATAAATAATTAATTAAAATAAAACATCCCCATTCTGGAATTGGAGTCACACTGGCCCCAACCCATTACAAATTACTTTAAATTTATACAAAAAGAGATCATAACTTACTAAAATAGAATATATTAAAATAAATAATATATATATACATAAATGAAAGACTTTAAGGACAAATACAAAATACTCTCTATATTTCACTCGAATGTATTTATTTGTAAAAAAAAATTATAGTAAATTTAAATATAATATTTTCTTCTTTATTTAATTGTATGATCGAATTTAAAAAAAAAACTAAATAAAAATAATTTTTTTTTTTATTTTTTTGGATAGCAAAAAAGTAAAAAAAGGATATTTTTTTTACTAAATCGCGAAACATATATAAATTTAAATGAAAATAAGAAAAGAAAATAAAAATAAATTTCGAAGAAGTAATATTGTATTGATTAATGAATTTTGCTTTTGGTTTTATATAAAAAATAATTGTGCAATAATAATAAAAAAAATTATTAAAATCACTATATAATATAAAGAAATAAAAAATCACTAAGGTATATAACATTCTAGAAATTAACTAATAAACTATTTTAAAAAATTAATCTATCAAATTAGTTGTCTAACATGTTCAATAACCTAAAATTTTTTCAAATATTAAGCAATTTACTCTAATAATAATAATAAAATAATAATAATAGTAATAGTGCATCCTCTCTCTGTGCAGAGTATAGTATGAAGTTTTTCATTCAACAGTGCTTTAATATATAGAGAGAGAGAGAGCAGAGCAATCAATCCAAGAAATTAATATCAGAGTATCAAAGCATCAAATATTATGCCCATACACATATCACTCCAATTCCAATGTTACTTTTTTAAATAAATCAATATGGATCTATTGTCTCCCTCCTTTAGTATATATATATAAGATTTCTTGACTACTAAAGGGCACAGAACCACCAAAAATCTGCATATCCATCCAGCTGCTACAAGCACTAGAGAGACATACATCATCATCTTGTCACCTTATAGCTCTGCATCAATACATATAACATAAGATTCAATAATCATAACCAAATGGAAAAATTAACTAAAAGACATGTGTTTATGTGTGTGTGTGTCATATAGGAATAGCTTAAGCTACTTTATTCTCTCTTCTTTTACAGTTCTAAGAAGAAAGCAGCATTTTCAATTGCTGAATGAATACAAGCTGTGGCTAATACCCGAGGCATAAAAGAAGCATTTTCTACGGGATCTAAGAATGACAGGCTACTAGGCTGATTGCACATTTTTAACCTCATCCCATCTCATCTCAGAAAAGATACTCTTTTAATGTTAGTGAGATTTTTAGAAATATATATATGTCAAAGAACACAAGTATGTGTATGAGTATAGCCATTTGCAAATAACACCACTAACCACTATTGTATTGCAATCATCATTTCAACCGATTTCTAGATTTAAAATGAATGATAGACACGCGATCAAAGAATAGATAGATAGCATATTCGCCGCTCAGCAACGGAAATATTGGTTGAGAGGGGTATCGGGATTGAGTTATTATTTAGTTGTCGAATTGCACTACTTACAAAGCATAATCGTGCATTAATTACAATAAAAAAAAAGCAAGTCAAGGGAGAAAGATAGATACCTTCACTCTTTTCACCAAGTCCTTAGCTTTCGGATCATTGTTAAAGTGATCGCGCACAGGCTGCCCAACAAACCAAAAGTCAAGAGAATAACCCGACTAGCTAACAAGAGAAGAATAATTTAAATAAAAGTTACTCCTAAAGTGGTCGTATTTCTCAACAAAACATAATATGAAAATAAGCCCCTTGAATTTACTAAAAGCTACACAAATTACCACCAAAATGAAATCATTTGCTCCCAACATTTTGTCAATTATATTAAAATATTTCACATGGCTTATCATTCAAAGAAACATGAAAATTCTACAAGGGATGATGCATTTAGCACTTAGTTATACCAAGGCCTTCATGTAATCAAGCATTTGTGATTACGTTACTTTAAAGAAAAATATTTAAAGCAATTTTAACCACAATAAATAAATTAACAGAGCATTAAATAGGACCTGCAGGATCTTGTTTATTGCTTTTGCAAGAGCAGGTTTGAGATCCCCCGGATGCAGTTCCCCACTCTCATAATCGTCAGCTAACTCTTTGAAACTCTTGAAGGTCCTGAACACGACAGATGAAATTTTTTTTGCAGGCAACATCCTAAACTAAAAACCGAATTCAAAGAACAACTTTGAAAAACGAACCAGCTATGGAACTTAACCAGAAACAAGCAATAGGAATCCATGAATACATGCTTACTTGTTTCCTCCATTCTCAGGTTTTCTCTCAACCGTGAATTCGTTGAACCATGGGAGGACTATGTATTTGACGTACTCCAGACACGGATTCTTTTCCACCACTTTAGGAGGGCAAAAAGCTTTTTTTATCTTCAAGTTCACATCAGCCTAAAAACACTCGTCATTGTTGAATAGATAGAAACTCCGTGAGATATGAACCAGGGATGGACGTAGCTTTAAATAGGGAAAAGAAAACTGGTTGCGTATTAGTAAATTGTAATATGAAATCACCTCTTCATCCTCCATGTAGATGGAAGACGATGGATCACTTTTTGACATCTTCTCCTGCCCTTCCTGCAAACCCGGGAGCATATCTGCATTTCAAAGGTATTATACAAAAGTTACTTACGATATAATATTTTTAATTTTAACACGAGGTTCGATAATAAATTTACAAAAAACCAGATGCTTACGGTGAGAGAGTATAATAGGTTTGTTTTTCCTTTTGATGTCATCACAGTACTCCCTTGCAAGCATATTCACTTTCCGTTGGTCCATGCCCAACTGGCAGATATCAGCCTGTTTCGTCATGAAGCAATAATATTTTAACTACGTAGGAATTTTAAACCAGTGTTAAATCAATTCATGCAGCAATCCACTATTATGCAGAGACGATCAACATTAGCAGAATGGATCAATTCAAACAAACTATACATGTATAATTGTATATATATATATATATTTGATTCATTGGTGTTGCTAGATGCCTCCCAAATATTCTAATGGTCAACACATTAAATGTGGATTTAAATACTATGTCAGAAAAGGGAATCACAAGAAAACGAAAAGGAAGAACATCATCTCATCCAAAAACAGCAGAAATGCAGCATAGCATTCTTTATTTATTCTCATCTTGTCGATTGTTTGAGCTGATCAAATGTACCCATTACAAGCAAACACAGAACTTTTCATCATTATATGTGAAACACTTTCTAGAAACCAGAGGTGGTTGAAATTCAAACATGGTAATGAACCTACTGTCGATAATTGTATCACCAATTACACGAAGTAATATTTTAGTACAAATCATGAACTACAATCTATATACAACAGAAAATTGTAACTAACATACATGAAACTCCACCATACAAACCAAATGGGACAAGTACAAGTTCACATAAGCATATTCACCGAAACACTTAATAATAATATCCACACATCACCTTCAGAAAAAATATATCGGCGCACTGCATGCATGGGTAGAAAATTTGAGCAGCTGTCAATTCGTCTTGCTCCGAACGGCCCATAATTTGGCAGCACCTGAACAAGTTTTTTATAAAACAAGATAGAGACAGGCTATGCAATGAATGTGCAATTATAAAACCGGAAAATAAAATCCATACCTCACGATCCTTGGAAGATTGTTCCTCCGCGCTATGTCCATTACAAGGGGCCAGTACTCATGAGCCCGGGCATTTATCTCCTCCGAAGACCATAGAAACTCTACTTGACCTCCTTCAATGTTCATTCCTACAGCTTTCCATATTTCAATCAAGTATTGCCCTACCACTTGAATTTTCTTTAAGTCGCCGCCCATTTTATTGTTCAGCTGTGCAAACCAATCTGCGATCCAAATTCTCACTCTGCAGCCAGCTGAAGTCAACTTGTTCACATTAATTGCTTTCAGAACTCCCTGCATAGAAATGTTTCGCAGACGCAAATAGAGAAGATCACTAAGAATTGAGAATCACTCAGTTTCAACATTTACTGAAGCTAGCCTTTCTATACATGTTCTTTTACAAGATTTTGGCAAATCTACACTATCCTTCAAAATTTTTGCCCCTCAAAAACAACAAATCAAATACTTATTTTTCATTTATTATATTATACTAAAAATTAATTTTACATTCAAAACATCACATCAATACATATTTATATCACATCATACAACTATTCAAATTCAAAATTTTTACTATTCAAATCTCAATCCAAAATCTAAACCCCCGCATAAACACACCAGCTTGAAACCATTTGAAGCTTTCTTCATTTATATTGTTATGATTATTTGTTAAGACAAAAAATGCAACATTCACCATGAATAAGAATCACGGAAAGTCGGTAATTTTTATATATGGTAATTGTTAACAAAATTCTAAGTTCCAAATCAATCACAACAGAATGAGATTCCACAAGAAACTGCCAAGCTACATAGCCAAACCAAAGATGGTAAAATAAAGGCAAATAGTATCAGATGAAGCTGTATGCCTACCATGGATTTCGTCTTCATCATGTCAACATTTGGCAGAGAGTACGAACAAACTATAGAACTAACATTTTTTTCCAAATACAAGTTTCTACACTGAATTCAAAAACACCAAACCTAATAAATTATGGACTAGTAGGGCAGATACAAAAGAAAAGGGTAAATCAAAACACTATTCACTAGGAACAAGCAACAAACTTTGAACAAAATTGAATCTACCAAATTAACTGATCATCCTCCAATGAGCATTTTAAGAGAGCCAAAATGAAGATCGAGAGAAAGTAAGAGACCTGAGCAATATGCATTCGGCCAGAGGGTTCAAATCCATCATAGCAAATGGGTTGAGGCTTGTTCGCTAGCAATCTCTCTAACTCGTCCTCCTGTATGCACTCTTCGCCAATGCTCCTTATTATATCGAACCTCTCTTTCACACTCATTCTGCAGTAATTTCATCAAACCGATTAACGTCGAGATATCATTCCCCGTAAAAGTCGCCAAATCAAAAGTAAAAAGCTTATCATTACTTGGGCTGATCGGAAATTGATACAGACTCGAGTGACTGAGGAACCTGGTCGCCCTTGCTGCTGAGCTCGCTCTCCATTAAAAATTAGCCGTAATTAGGGTTGAAGATTTTGGGATTCTTCTTCGAGTGACTGAGGAACCTGGTTCGACTGAAAATTAGCTGAAATTGGTCCCTGGTTCGAACTTTCAGTCGAAGATTACAACCAGGTTGCGTCGGCGTCGGCGGCGTGACGGCGTCGATGTGTTTGCGAAGTGTGGCCGTGTGGGTGTGTAGGGTTTAGGTAGAGTTGCCCATTCCGTTCCCAACCGCCGGTTTATTTTTTGAACCGGAGGTTTGACATTTATTATAATAGTGTGTTTTTTTTAATTGTATATTAATAAAAATAATTATTTTAATTATAAATTAATATTAAAATAATTCATTAATTAAATTAAATTTTAAAAAAATATTAGTTAAAATTTTAAAATAAAATTAAATGTGTAACAAGTTTTTTAAAGAATGATATGATACGGAGAAAAATGAGACTATGTAGTTGGAATAGAGGGAGTAATATATTTATAATTAAAATTTTATAAAAAATAAAATAAAATATTAATAAAAATAAAAATAAATAAGTATTAATGGTAAAAAAATATAATTATATAGTATATTTATATTTTAAATTTTGTATTTTTATTATATAATTATATTTAATTTAACTAGTATCTTATTATCTAATGCCTCAATATTTTTATAATTTAAAATTTAATTATTTATTAAATGAATTATTTTATATTGTAACAATCTAATTAATTATTATCTATATAATTTCTACATAATAAATATTTATATAAAATCAAATCTTAAATTAATTGTTTTAAAATAAATACTAAAATTTAGAAAAATAGAAAATAGAAAATATTAATTTTTAAGGGGTTTGATTTCAATTTTTAAATTTGGTAATAGCTATTGGACCAATGGCTATTGGGTGGTGGGCATTTGACCATTTTGTAGTTATATTTTAACTCAGCCCAAAAGCAAGCTATAATTAGTAACATGAATATAAAAATATATAGATATATTTGATTTGGTTAGCATAATTCAAAAAATTCTTAAAATTTGAGATCGAACTAAACAAATATTAAATATATGATATTTATATTTATTTTAAACAAATTTTTAAAATGTAAAAACAATACATATTTATTCATAACTTAAACATAATGGGTGTGTTCTTTTGGGGGATTTACCCAGATTTCTACTATTCATCCAATTTTTTTCCTTAAAAAACATCAAATCAAATACTTATTTTTCATTTTTTATGTTATACTAAAAATCAATTTTACATTCAAAACATCACATCAACATCTATTTATATCACATCGTACAACTATTCTAATTCAAAAATTTTACTATTCAAATTTCAATTCAAAATCCAAACCTCCAAACAAACACACCCAATATGTATTGTATAAAAGTATGTCATATACTAAAATTAACTGTTGTATATGTTGTGTGAGACTATAACATATATTGTATTTGTATTATATTAATACAAATAATATGCTGTCAATAATAATTCTATTAGCACATTGCGTATTGTTTACACAATGCTGAATTTAATCGCTGCCATTAAACAATATATAATTTTGAATATTATGCAAATCTAGACTTTGGCCAATCGCGGGTAATAACTAACGGCAATGCAAGACACTAACGACATACATGTTTTTAAGAAGAAATAGTGGAGGCGAGTTAGCTGTGTTAATCTTAATTCGACTAGTTCAAGTATTGATCTGTATACATAATTAACTTGAAATTCATAACTATCTTTGTATTGGATTCGTGTCAAATTGTCGTATTATTTTATATTGGCTCTATACGAGAGGTAGCATACAAATATTTTACTAAATGTGTTTTTTTTTTTTTTTTATAATATATATTTTTGAAGTAAAATAATACTCCCCCCGTTCCATATATCATGTCCATGTTGTCGTTTCTGTCCGTCCCATATACCATGTCACTTTCCTTTATTGGAAAATGATTACACACTTTAATCTCATTTTAAACTTTTTAATTTATTTTTTTAACATTTTAATTAAACTAATTAGTTGTCTTAATTTTAATTTATAATTATTTATATTAGCAAATAATTATTTTCACTGATACATTCTTAATTATCTATTAATTATACCCCTACTAAAATACCGTGTCTACGGTGTAGCAGACACGGTATGTGGGACGGAGGGAGTATTATTTGGATTTCCTATTATGGTCATATTATATGGATCTTTCAATATATAAAAGTATAAACTTGTGTATGTATTGTTGTTTTTATTTATATTATAGAAAAAAAATTAAAAGTTTTTTGTTATTAGGGTTTGTTTATAGTGTGTGTTTATTTTTTTTATATTTCTATTAAGCATGATAGATTGTGATGGTGTTATAGGAATTTTGTATTTTGTATGCTTCAATTGTTAACTTTTTATTGTATGTGTGTAATTATTCTTTGTTTATTAAATAATATTTTTTGATTATATTTTTGAAAAATAGTCCCTTATTTTCAGTTTGAAAGAATATAAGCTTAGTAAATATTTTAATAAAATATTAGTTAAATTTTTAATATAAAATTGTAACTTGTTAAATAAATATTTTAATTATTTATACCATCTTTATGTAGTGTACGTAGCATTTTTATTTTAAAAAAATAATTATTAAAAAAGCTATATGAGATAATTAATTAACATTCTAAACACTTATGATATGACATATATGTTTTAGATAATATTAATATCAATGTTATAGTTTATGTTTTTGTATGTTTTAAAAGTACCATAAAAATAAAATATATAATTATAAAAGCTTTCATTTTGTATATATAAAAATATTATTCTTCATTATGGCTTTTTCACTCGATTATTGAATTTTATCAAGATTTAACAAATTTGACGTATAGACATACTTTATATTTATGCATATACATATTCAAGTATTTGATAATTCGCTGATTTAATGGTATAAAAATTTTGAAGTATTGAAGGTTTGCACGCCTTGGAGGAGGACAATGATTTTCACAACCGACATATAAAATATATTCAATATATCCAGCATCTAATAATACATGAACAACAACAAGATCGTCGTATTCCCCAAACCTCAAAGCTCGGATGAAAATATTGTCACCAAGCCGAATCAATGTCATAAAAAGTGTTTGCCATTGCAACAAGAAACTCAAGGATTCTAATTACACATATTGTTTCATAACTTGCAAGGTATGATCGTCAAACGTAGAGATTATTCAAGAAAATAAAGGCGAAGAACAACAACAACAACGTGATTCGTCGACATCGAAGAAGGCAGATTCCAGTAAAAGAAAAAAAAAAAAAGAATACCAACAAGCGAAATCATAATTTAATGATGTTAAGGATGCGATTGTTTGTTTAGTATTTTGGTTTCAATTTGAATTTTTTTTATTTTTTATTTTTTATTTATGAGGTGAGAAATTATATCGGTTGTATAAAAAATAATAATTTTTGAATGCTAACTTTTTTAAAAAAATAATATAATTTATATTATATATTTTGAATTGTGTCAATTTTAAAAAGAAAATAGGTGGGGGTTTAGTGGGCCAAGCCTATGTAGGTTTGGGTTAGCCCAATCCATTTCAACCTCACTTACAATTAGACTAATTATATTCTCTATTTGTCCACAAACTAATATTTACTTTTTTTTTTTTGGACGTCCAACAACTATTGTTCTATTTTATTTTTTAAACACAAATTTTACATTTTTATCATTCATTCATGTATTACTTTCAATCTCTTGTAATTAAGGACAAATTTGTCAATTAATAACAAAAAGACAATCACCTAAAAAACCGTGCAAATATATTTTAGGACAAGAGGAGTAATAAATTTAAGTTTGAACCTATTTCTTCCGAGCTAATACATGGGTCATATTCGGATTTTATTAAATTTGGATCAATTGAGCCCATTCCAAAATTAAATAAATATACATAGATAATTTTTATACATAAGCTGAACTCTTAACAACTTGAATGGGCCGGCCCAGTCCATCTCAAAGTATCTCGAGGTCTTGATACGATTTCTATTACTATATCAAAATTAATTTTAGGTTAAATGAAGTCAAATAAGTTGCCTAAGGCTAGGTTGATTTATCTCATCACATCAAATTTGCACAATGTACTAGTCAGACTTATTTTTTACTAATAAAAAAAATATTAATGTACTTCTAAAATATAGGATTTAGAAAAAATTATTTATAACCCACTTGTAATTTTGAAAAATAGGCATCAATTTTTAAATCATTAATTGTATGAAACTCGTTATATTTTCAAAACGTTGCACAATTTTTCTTAGTGCAATATTTTCGAAAATTCGAGAGGGTTGTATACAATTTTAAGGGGATTTTGGGTAATATTTTTTAAAATACTAGAAAACTTTATACATTTTTTAAGCCAGAATATGGTGCAAACTTTCCATACTATAAGAAATTTTAACTAAGATATACTGCTTCCCTCCTAATTCAACGTACTTTTTTTACTATTTTCGTTCGTATTATTCAAAAGTATCAATTTACGTTTTTAGTAAAAATAATCACCAATTAATACAAAAATACTTTTAATTTTTATTTAAATTACAAATATATCATCGTATGTAAAAAGTCAAGAGAGCAAAAATATCAAAATCTACTCACCAATAAAATATTATTATTTTTTACTCTAAAACTAAAAAAAAAAAAAAAAAAAAAAAAAAAAAAAAAAAAAAACCTTTTCAAAAGGGACAACATAAAACATATCAGTAATTTTACAGATATTTATGTAATGCATTAATTTAATTTAATTTTTTGTATTATTATTATTATTATGGCAACGAACAGATTTAAACCTCACCTCATCGTCTAAAACATATACTAATATACAGCAGAATGCTTAAAATAAAACATCTCGACACAGATTTCGTAAAAACACTAAAAACATATATATATATATATATGATGGGAATATTGAGGTCGATGGTACCTTTATTTCATGGGTGCCAAAGAATTGTAGTGTCCGCAATCATGGAAGTCACGACATACGGGTCCATGTTCGATGCAGGCCTCCTATCCTCGAAATAACCTTTTCCATCTTTTTCTGTCTCCCTTCCCACTCTAATGGAGGCTCCACGGTTCGCCACGCCCTTCAAAAACCACAGCAAAAATAAATAAAAAACATTACTATTTAATGTCAATTTTTATTTTTTTATTTTTTATTTTGAAAAAAGAAAATTAAAAATATCTGTGTACATAAAATCTCCCAGTTTTTACTTACCCATAAGAAAGTGTTGATGTCAGCTGTTTCGTGCTTCCCAGTGAGGCGACGCTCGTTGCCTTCTCCGTAAGCGGCGATGTGTTCTTTGTGTCTCCGGCCGAGCTTTTCGATAGCTTTTTTGATCACCTCGTAGCCTCCTTCATCTCTCATGGACTTGGTGCTATAAATGTATGTTAAAAGAATTAAAAGATGTAAATGACCGAAAATTTAAATTGTTTGAGATATACATAACGAGGAGTCAACCAACAAGAATGATAGTGGATAAGATGGATTTAAAGATCGATTTAATTTGTGCACCTGTAGTTTGTATGAGCACCGGCGCCATTCCAGTCGCCCTGGAAAAAGAATCGATGGGAAAGGGTAAAGATCGAGATTGGCATTTTGCTAGTAAGATGCAGTAGCAATGGATAAGAGGTGTGGAATTTGTGTAGGCTTAACCTGAATAGGCTTAGGATCGAAGGAGACGACCACACCAGCAATCTCAGTGATCCTCTGTCCACACAAAATTATTATGTTACTACATTTCAAATAGTATATATGCAAATAATAGCATCATTATCTAAGATATATATATATATGTGTATGATTAAAAGTATAATCTAAATCAAATATTTCGGAATTTGCAAAAAGAGTTTGGAGATGATGCAGCCAATGTCCACCGAATTAAAGTCGAAAGACTATTAACAAAACTAGAGTAATAAAAAACGCTCTTAATTCAGTTAAAATTGAAAACAATGCTCACAATAGAATTAGAGTCGAGCAGCATAGCTCATAGCTCGTAACGCTGCTAAAGTATGAAGTAAGTTTGAGATGCATACGTAGAATCTCAAGTTGAAGAAGTTTTTGGGTACATTTCAATTTGAAGAAATACTATTTTAATACCATATTAATTATTCTGCACATATTTCAATAAAATTATATTAGTATTTTTTTTTCAAAATTTAAATTTAATATCTTATTTTAAATAAATTTCAAATTACAATCAAACATATTCGTGTATTATTAATAATAAAATCGGGGCTATGCAATATGAATTTTATATAGACAGATTCACACTCAAATAATAGAAAAATAATCTAAAACAGTAAATAAAATATTCAAAATGTAGCATTTGCAAAATGAATTATGGTGGTAGGTAAGTACCTCTAGAATGTATCGAGCCACCCATAGCTGATCACCAGCAGAGATTCCCACGGAAGGGCCGACTTGGAATTCCCACTGTTTAATCGAAGAGTGAGAAGAGCAAAAGCATCAATAAATGTATATAAATATTTCATAAAAATTAATATTTAATATAAAATATTATTTTTTTTTTAATCAAAATACTAAACAAAAAACCCTCTTCGTTTTTGAGTTATGTAATTACCTGGCCAGGCATAACTTCTCCATTGATGCCACTGATGTTGATCCCTGCGTAGAGACACGCTTTATAGTGAGCATCGACTATGTCTCGACCAAAGGCTTTTTCAGCACCAATCCCACAGTAGTACGGTCCCTAAGAATAGATGGTCAACACATTTGTAGTTTTGATCAGGTCAATAGAATTTAAGAACTCCTCCAACCAACCCCCAAATACCCCCATTTTTGGACGAATCCACAGTGTTATTCTATTTTTGGAGTAACACTATTACTCCACTCCATTTTTTGAGTGGAGTTTTTGTGGAGTTTTTTATATTTTTGGTATTTTTTTGGTGTATTTTGTAATTTTAATTTTTTAAGTAAATGATATATAATTTTATATTTTAAAAAGTTGTATATAATTTTATTTTATTTTTGAAAAATAATGTATAATTTTATTTTTTAAAAGTGATATAATTTTAGTTTTTGAAAAGTAATATATAATTTTATTTTTTAAATCGATATATAATTTTACTGTTTCAAAAGTGATATAATTTTTATTTTTTTAAAAAGTGATAGCATTTAATTATTTATTTAAAATTATTTTATTTGTAATAGTTATTAATTATAAATGTTAATTTTTATATATGTAATTTTTAAATAATTTATAAATTATATGTGTATGGATCTAATGTAAAAATAAACTAAAGTTGGGGTGTAATTTATAAATATGAAAAGTTATATAAAATAATATAAAAGAAGAATAGGGGGAATACACATTTTAGAGTAAAAATTGAAGTTTATGGTTGAAGTAAAATTACTGATTTTTAGCAACTGCAAAAATGGAACCAAGGATATATGATAAATATAGAGTAGTGGGCAAGCTATGACCTTATGTAAAATACCGGTATGAGAAAATGTTAAAAATAAAAAATTAATGGCTCCAATATTGAGTTAATCCAGTCAAATCACCATGGTAGATTATCACATGTTATACACATAATCAACATATATATTTACATATAATACAATATATATTGAATTATAATATAACATATACTAAATTATAAATATATTTATACTGAATTTTCTTATACAAGTATCCCATATGCAAAATTTTATATAGTTATGTGTGTTTACATTTAAAACATTACATCAATACATATTTATATCACATCAACAACTATTTCAATATAAAATTTTACTATTCAAAACAAAAACAAAAACCAAAATCAAAACACTAGTTTGCTAGTTTTTTTACCACCTAGATAAAAATCCTAACGTAGCCTTTGTTACCTGCGGTCCAGGGAATCCTCCAACGGGCCATCCGAGAGGCCATTTGAGATCCTTCTGCAACAGAGTATACTCTTGCTCGATGCCATACCTGAATTTTGGGAACTTCGATTTTCAACTTTGTGTTCACAAACTTAACTAACTGTGACAACACTTTAGAAATTAGAAAGATGCTTTAAAAATCATACCACGGCTCCTCTGCAATGACATTGGGATGGCTAAAAATCTTGGCAGCATTGCACCTGTTGTTTGTGGGAATTGGCTCCCCGGCAGGAGTGTAGGCATCGCACATGACCTGAGGGAAACGAAAGCAAACGATTGTAAGATTCTGATCGTATGAAGCTTTTTTAATTTCTTTATTTTGATGCATAAAGAGCTCACAAGTATGTGGTTTCCTCTCCGGAATGGATCTGGAAAAATTGCCTGAGGACTATGTGCAAAGAAATTAATGGAAGGATATGAACAATGATCTCTGTATCTATGGCGAAGATCATGGCAAAGAGTTCGAGAAATTTACTAAAGGATAACTTCACTGTCTTCGCCAGGGGCTTGGCCTGTGCTGGATCCGTCATAGTTCCACTTCGGGAGCTTCGCAGGATCGGTTATTGGACCAGAGAGAGTCTGTTTCATTTGATTGGGGGAAAATAAATTGCAGCTTGAAAAAACCACAGAAAAATGAAATCAATGATGCACGCGTACCCTAGCCTTGCTTCTGAGATCCATTCCAGATCCACCAATCCTGATGAACAATCAAAGGCGGACCGAAAATATAGATCTTAGTGAAGATCACTAACAAATTAACAATCCTTATAGAAAAATCAGTTACACGACGCACTTCAAATCTGGAATAACAAAAGGTTCCTATCTTCGAGGAAACTAAAGCGATGTCCAATTTTTCATCATGTAAATGATTCCGTAGAAACTATATGATTGATCAACAAGCAAAACACCATGACAAAAGAAGCGAGAAGTTCCAGAACTCTCTATCACAACATAAGAAACATCTACTGCCTCTAACTTAACGTTAACTTCTTCGATCGATCAACAAAAACCAACATAAACATCGAACTTCCTACCAAAAATTCAAGTTTGATACCCCAAAATCGCTAATAAAAGTAGAAAAAACAAAAAAAAAACAACAGAATATCAAAATATCAAAAAAACAAATCCATAATGTGCAGCAAAAAGTTCAAAAAATTTCGAAACAACTGACCATATATATTCAGCAATGAATTTCTCCCCAGAGAGGTCCAAATTGATGAGATCGTTGATCAAAGACATGCTCCTTCGCTACGAAATCGCCTCCAAACAGAGCGACGGTTATGCTCGAAGTTTTACCCTTCGTTCAGAAGCTCACTATGACAATTGATGAGGGAATAGGAAGGACCCCCTCCCTTTTATAGCCGTTTTCAGGCGTGGGAAACCTGTGAAAATTAATATATATATTATTTAGAAAGTTTTACTATTTCATATAGATGATAAGGATGACGCTGGCATGACCAATTTACATTTTTATCCTTACTTTATTCACGGAATGTCTACGATGATGCTTAAATGGGTGACGATAATAATGACGTGGATTTTCATTTATTATTTATTATTTTATTTTCATGCCACGTATTGGTTGCAACTCGTAAAACAAAACTCGTTATGAACTCGGAGAAAAAAAAAAAAGACTTTACTCAAAAAAGCTAACGTATCTATTTCGAGTTTTTTTTTTTTTTGATATAGTTCGTAAAACTTTAGTGCGTTTGTTCGAAGGATTGAATTTTTGTTTGAAATTTAAATAATAAAATTTTTAAATTAAAATAATCATACATAATATAAATAGATATTAATGTCATAAATAATAAAAATTTGATGAAATTTATGAAAAAAAAAATACACCCAAATATTTGTATATGTATATCCGCGCTAATGATACAATTTACTCGGATAAGACTATTTTTAAAATTTTAATAATTTAAAAATAATAAAAGAATTAGTATAAATATAATATTTTATAAGAGAAAAAAAATTATTTTATCCGATTAAACTTAAATGACCCATTTATTTATTTTGTAATATATTAAAAAATAATATTCATCCGGTCTTATGCGACCTTGCTTGGCTACAGATTAAAAAATAATAATATTTTAATATAAATTTAAAGTAAGTGAAAATAAGATAGAAGTATGATAACAAATTTATTACACAATTGATAAAAATGTTGAGTATTGTTGGCCCAAATGGATCAAAATCAAATATTAATAATATCTCAGCAATAAGAATAAAAAATAAAAATTTCTCACGATATAAACTAGTTGTTCGCTCTCAAATCACACTGTGATTACATATTGGTGACGACAAAAACAGAAAATACAGAACAACTAATAACCTAGTTGAGCTCTAACTAACCTACATTTGGGAGGGTATAACCACGCAAGATTCACTCTCGCCACGATTGAAGCACAAATATATATAAATACAATTGAGTTAGAGACCTCAAGCAATCAACATACTAATTTCTTGATTTATCTCTCAACCCAAAACCTATCCACCCTATCTCCACATTCTCGATATTCAATAATCTCTTCCTACATCCCGTAAGGGATGGTCTGGTGTTGTAGGGTTGCGTGTGACCGTGAAGTCATGGTTTCAAACCCCCGACGCCTCAGGTCACCTGCCTAGTTCGCTTAGTGTTTCTTGCCTGTCGGGTCTAGTTTGCACGGTATTAGGTTCGGCTAGGGGTTTACCGAGTGCGCACTTTCAGGCAGCGGCTGCGGATTCTGACGTCATAAAAAAAAAAAAAAAAAAAATTCTCATTTACTTTTTGTGTATTGATATGAAAAAATTATAAAAATATTTTCATTAGCGTCTTATAATACTAATAGAAGGATATTATTACAAAATATTATACAAATATAATTATATTTTTAATATTAAGTACAATAAATATGACCTTAGAGATAAACGAAATAGATATTTGATTTGATATTTTTCAGAAGAAAAAATAAAATAAATAGTAAAATTTGGGAAAAATCCCCCAACAAACAGACCCTAAAAGATTCACCACCTTCCATAACTTGCAAGTCATCAATCAAGTTGAATCAGATCAACATTTGAGCCACTCTCTTGTTTAATTTGACGCAAGTCAATCTAGGTTGCGTCTGTCCGACAAAATTTATTAATTGATTTATTAAATTTCGTCTTTAAATTTTTCTTAGCTGACGTCATCCGTTCTAATTTCTGTTACATATGTATTATTTTTAATAGTGAAAATAGACCAATTTGATACTAATGAGATTTAATAATATAATGATAATGATTTGTGATATTAGTTTATTTATTTATTTACATGAATAGCAGTATTGATATTTTTAAAATAAAAATTAATATACTATATGATTAAAAATTTAAAATATTTATTTAAAATATTTTAAATTCTATATCTCACTACAATAGTATATAATACGAATATCATTTTGTAAAACAAAAAAATATACTTTCTCCGTCTAAGCAAGAAATATACATTTACTTTTAGCGCGAATTTTAAGAAATAATAATATTTTAATTACAGTGGGTAGGTAAAAGTAGTGTAATGACATTTTTGCCCTTACTTTTTGGTATAAAAGTATTGATGTGATGTAAAGTAAGGATATTTGTGAAAAAATGTAGTGTATTTAATGAAATGGTTACTTTGTAATTGAACATCCCAAAAAAAAAATGAGTACTTTATAGCTGGACGGAGGGAGTATATAATAAAATTGAATAAAAAATATTTTTATTTATTTATAATTAATATAAACTATTTTTTTTAAAAAAAATAAATATAAAAAATATAAAAATATTTGTTTGTTGAGAAAATAAAAAAAAAAGAGGGATTTTAAATAGATTCTACATGTACAAAGTTAAAAATATAATTAAATAAGAAAAAAGTAAAAATAAAAGAGTTTTTTGTGGATCCTATATATAACGTGTTAAAAATTTAACTAAATCAATTTATATATGTTAAGTATATTAAATATTGATAAATTTACTAAAAGAAAAAAGTATGGATTAAAGTAAGACATATAAATGAAAAAAATGTCAATTAAAATGAGATTGAGGGAGTATAATATTTTTTTTTTCCTCTTAATTTTTATTTTAAAATATTATATTTAATATTTATTTCATATACAAGTATTATATCAAATCATTATTTTATGTCAATTTTTTAAAAAAAAAAAAAAAAAAAAAAAAAAAACACGCGGAGTAGGGGTGGAAATTCAACTAAGACCACTTTTTTCGTATATGCCTAATGTATAGGATTCCATTCTCGAATAAATTCTTTTATTATTATTATTATTATTATTATTATTATCTTAAAATTTTATAGTTGTAGTTTTTTTTATTGGGTGGTACGAAGAGTTATAAAATTATTATTGAAAATGATGTTGAATGTATTTTTGTTAGATTTTTATTCTTACATTTTTTTTTTGGTCGGATAATTTTAAATTTATTTGGGATCGACATGAGAATTAAGAAGATGAATTCTTTAGTAAAAGAAATTATAAAAGTATGAATATAGTTGAATGTATTTATAGAATTTTAAAGAGAATGAAGAAAAGAAAAAGCAAATAATACATAATAATAATAATAATAATAATAATAATAATAATAATAATAATAATAATGTTATAAATAAATATTAAAAGGATGATAATAGTTAAATATTGAATTTTTTATTTAGTAATCAGATAAATTTAATAAACAAATGAAATAAAAAAAAAATAGATTTAATGAACAGAAAGAGTATATTATAATTTTTAGTAACAATTTTCTTTTAAGTAATATTAAAACATATGTGTTTCCTGAGAGGTTTTGATTTTGAATAGTAAAATTTTAAATTAAAATAGTTGTTTGATGTGATACAAATATGTATTGATGTGATGTTTTGAACATAAAATTAAATTTTAGTGCAATAAAATAAGTAAAAATTAAGTATCTGATTTGATATTTTTGGAGAAAAAATAAAATTGAAATAATAAAATTATGAGTAAAATCTTACGAGTAAACAGAACATAAGTGAAGTATGCATTTTTATTTAAGGTACTCTATCCAGGATACTTACGCTATTATTTTCTTTTTCTTTTTATGTTTATGTATAATTTATTTATAATAAATAATTTTATCAACTTACAATTTATTATATCTACTTTAACAAAAAAAAAAAATAATCACTTTGTCATTATTTTTTCTTCTTACTCTATTATTTTTTAATTTCTTAATAAGTTTGCTATAATATTTTTATTTATATAATACTCCTTCCGTCCAATCAGAAAGTATACATATTTCTATTTTGGGACGTCCAATTACAAAGTACCCATTTCATTAAATACCCCATTTTTTTCCACAAATATCCCTACTTTACATCACATCATTACTTTTATACCAAAAAAGTAAGGGCAGAAATGTCATTTTACTACTTCTACCTACCCACTGTAATTAAAATACTAATATTCCTTAATCTCCGCGCCAAAAGTAATTATATACTTTTAGCTTGGACGGAGGGAGTATAATATTATTATTTATTAATATCAATGCCCGTACAATATGACATAAAAAAATCAGGACCGAGTAAGTATTACTTTTTAAAAATTTTATTGTATTTTAAAAATATGACATCAAATGTACAAGTATTCAATTTGAATTAAAAAATATTTTTGTTATTATTTATTTATTTATTTCAAAAATATTTAGAAAAATGCTTTTAAAAAGAACATAACAAAAATAAACAAAACATTGGAGATGGAATCAAAATACACCTCAACTCTCTATTATTCCTTTCTTATTCTTGGCAAATGTCAATTTTAGGGATGCTATGTCTATGTTTTTTTTTTTTTTAAATTTTGTTTATATTATTTACCTATGTAATTATTGTGTTTTTAATAAAAAGATATAATTTTTCTTATAAAATATACATTTAATATAATATAAAAAATAAAATAAAAATCACAATCATATTCCAAAATAATACTCCCTCCGTACCAATACAATAATATTTTGAAATTTTGGTTTGATATTTTATTTTTGAAAAATTATGTGAGTTTGCATGGACATGGAAATTAATAAATAATGATATGTAAATATAAAATTAGAGTAAATAAAGAGTAAAGTGATGATATTATCAAAATTTTAATTAGAATTGATTAAAAAAAATAAGATATGTAAAAGAAAATAGCAGTAAAATAGTTATTATTCGATAATGTAATAGTTACACTATAAACTATGAATAACTTTTTATCACACATAAAAACAAAAAAAAACCAAAAAAAAAAAAAAAAAACTAATACTATAATTTTGACATACACTAATATTTTTTATTAAAAATATATATATATAATTTTTTGTTTTAATTTAAAGTACCATTTTTATAATTTTCGTTTGTTTCATTCAATTTTTTTTTTTTTTTTAAGAATATAGTAAAGTACTTTTATACAAATACCAAAATACTCGTACTTTTACTCAAATTATAAAGACCTTTCTCTTATTAATTTATTTGTACTTTAAAATGTTAAACTATCTCACATATTTTATTGCCCAATAAAATACTACTCCCTTCGTCCCACGTTGGATGTCTGTCACCGTAGATACGAAAAAATTTAGGATAAATATAATTAGTAGATAATTATAAATGTATTAGTGAAAATAATTATCCTATAATATAAATAATTATAGATTAAGGTTAAGATAACTAATTAGTTTAATTAAAATTAAAAAAAAATAAATTAGAAAATTTAATATGAGATTAAAATGTATAATTATTTTTTAAAAAAAAAGTGACATGGGATATGGACGGACATAAACGACAATATGGACATGATAGGTGGATCGGAGGTAATATTATTTATTAATCCATTAAAAAAACAACTACCTCTCTTGATTGGGATGAGGAATATGTTCTTACATAAAAAAAATAAAATAAAATAAAATAAAATAAAAATAAATAAATAGCAAAATGAATAGAACATAATTCTAAACTTATTAAATAATTAATGGAAAAAAAAAAGTAAAGAAATGAACAGAATATGAGAGCATATATATATATATAGCAGATAGGCATCTTTATATAGAGAGGCTGAGGCAAGTAGGAAGCATTATTCTTGCATTATGATATATATATATATATATATATAGAGAGGCTGAGGCAAGTAGGAAGCATTATTCTTGCATTATGATATATATATATATATATATGTATTGCAATTATTTTGAATTTTTATTTCTATCTAATCTCAACTATTATTTATAAATATATAATCTTCCTCTTAGGGTGTGTTTGTTTGAGGGATTTGTTTGGATTTTCACTATTTATCTTATTTTTTTCCCCCAAAAAATATCAAATCAAATACCTATTTTTTATTTTTTTATATTATACTAAAAATCAATTTTACATTCAAAACATCACATCAACACCTGCTTATATCACATCATGCAACTATTCAAATTCAAAATTTTTATTATTCAAATCTCAACTCAAAATCCAAACCCTCAAACAAACACACCATAAGTTAATTATGTTAGTTTTTTTTTTTTTTTTTTCCATAGTCTTTGTAATAAAATATTTTTTCAATTCATAATTTTATTACTATTATTTTAAAAAAAAAATTGTTAATTTTCTACCCACTTTACTATATTTTTATTAATTTCTAATTAAATTTTATATTAGAGCTGTTTAAATAAACAAACCCAACCAAATTCTTCCAACTACAAAGTAAATATTTTATTAAATATTCAATTTATTTCACAAACTTTTTTACTTTACATCACATAATTATTTTTATATTAAAAAATAAGTGCAAAAATATCATTTCACTACTTTTAACTGCCCACTATAATTAAAATACTATTATTTTTTTAAGTGGACAGAGAAATTATTATAATAGCTAAATGGCTTCAATTGACTTGAATTACACAATCCTCTCCCTTTTGACATAGTAATTGCCAGTGCATTTTTTTTTTTTTTGTTAGAATTTGAGAAAATTTGATTTGAATTTCGCATTAAAATAATATTTGATAAAATATTTTGTGAGAGAATTTTTTTTTTAACAGTCAGAGTTCAAATAGTAAAATTTAGAAAAAAGATTATGTAAAGAAACATGCCTCGTAAACAATAAACAGGCATAGGTATGTTGTGGTGTAAAATAAAAGCAAACTTATAAGCAATTAAAACTTACAAAACAATGCCTCAATAAAATATAATCTTACTTAAATAAATAAATAATAATAAAAAAAAAAGACAAGCAAGAATTCATCAAATTGTAGAAGCTAAGTTAAAAAAAGCATGTTACCTGTTTAAATAAAACCCATCTACGGACAGAAACCGCCACCGCCGCCGCCGCCGTCGATAGAGCCGAGCAGCCCACGAACAATCGCATAGCCAATAAAGATCGAAGAAATTACCCGAAAACTACACCAACACGACGTCGGGGTTCGGTTCGGGAACGGATCCATTTCCGTTCCCGTTCAAGACGACGACATTCCCGTCAGAATCGACGTCGACAATAACCGAATCACCCTCCTTGATGTCCTGCGCAAGCATCTTCTCCGCCATGCTATCCTCGAGCAGCCTCATGATCGCTCGTCTCAGCGGCCGAGCTCCGTAGCTCGGATTATACCCCTCGTCGACGACCCGATCCCGAAACCGATCCGTCACCTGCATGTCGATTTCTTTCTCCATCAGCCTCGATCGAACCTCCTTCAGCATAATATCGGCAATCTCTTTGACCTCGATCTTCGACAGCTGCCGGAAGACGATCATGTCATCCAATCGGTTGAGGAATTCGGGCCGGAAATACTGTTTGAGCTCTTCGGTCACCAGGCTCTTGATCCGGTTATAACTCGAGTCCTTCTCGTCGTAATCGAGATCGAAACCAATGCGGCGCCCGCCCTTCTCGATCACATTACTCCCGACGTTCGACGTCATAATGATGAGCGTGTTCTTGAAGTCGACGGTTCGGCCCTTGCTGTCGGTCAGCCGGCCGTCTTCGAGGATCTGGAGCATCATGTTGAAGACGTCGGGGTGCGCCTTTTCGATTTCGTCGAAGAGGACGACGGTGTAAGGTCGTCGACGGACAGCCTCGGTGAGCTGCCCGCCGTCGGTGTACCCGACGTAACCGGGCGGGGACCCAATGAGCTTTGCGACCGTGTGCCGCTCCATGTACTCGCTCATGTCGAGACGGATCATGGCTTCCTCCGACCCGAAGTAGTACGACGCCAACGCCTTCGCCAGTTCGGATTTCCCGACGCCAGTCGGGCCGGAGAAGATGAAGCTCGCGATGGGGCGGACGGGATTCTTGAGCCCGACGCGAGCGCGGCGGATGGAACGACTGATTGCTTTTACGGCCTCGTCCTGCCCGATGACCCTCGTGTGGAGGGTCTCCTCCATCTTGAGCAATCGATCGGATTCGTCAGCCGAGACTTTCTCGACGGGGATGCCCGTCCAAAGCGAAACGATGTGCTGAATGTCGACTTCGGTTACGATCGGACCCGCATCGCCGGACTCGCTTTCTGCCTTGCTCATCTCCTTATTTTTTTCTATAAGAGCCGATATTTTAACCTTAAGATCCATTTCCGTGTCGCGAAGCTCTCCGGCCTAGAATATTTTATTATACGCGTCAAATTTCGAGTCCGAAATCGTAATTCAATAGATACGGCATACCTTCTCGAAGTCCTGGCTCCGGACGGCTTCGTTCTTGTCCTTTGTTATCTGTCTGAGTTCTTTCTCGAGCTCTCGGGCTTCCTCGGGAAGCTGCAAAATGTAATAACGGCATTGCTATCGATAAGCAGCAACAAAAAGTCTCCGTAAAGTTGTAATGCGCCGCAAAAGTTCTACCTTTGCATGACGAAGTCGGACTCGGGAACCAGCCTCGTCGATCAAGTCGATTGCTTTGTCTGGCAGAAATCGGTCACTGGAAAAAGCAAAGATAGTTTATTTAAATTCTTCAGGATTTAAACGACGCATAAGAAATGCTCGTGTAGACTACATTTACGCACCTGATATACTGGTGGGACAATTGTGCTGCAGCGACTAACGATTCGTCAGTGTAATGAAGCTTGTGATGGATCTCGTAGCGTTCACGTAGCCCTCGAAGAATCTGAATGGCTTCGTCTACTGTAGGCTCAGGAACCCTAACGGGCTGAAACCTTCTTTCGAGAGCAGGATCCTTCTCGACATGCTTTCTGTATTCATCTAGAGTAGTGGCTCCAATACACTGCATTAAGGCATTACACAGTCGATAAAACATAGTTGAAATGAAACTGACCCTTCGACAACATTAATGGTAAAAGACAAATATTTAACAGGTCATTTGAACAATGTGCGGCAAAGGCGATAAGATAGACAATAGTAAGCTATGAAAAGTGTAATAATCGTTGTTTGAACACCGCTACGATGCTTTCGACTAACCTGAAGTTCTCCTCTCGCTAATGCAGGCTTCAAGATGTTTGCAGCATCGATTGCGCCTTCAGCAGCTCCAGCTCCAATCAAAGTGTGCACCTCGTCGATGAAGAGTATAATATCATCATTCTGTCTAATCTCCTCCATCAGCTTTTTCAATCTTTCTTCAAATTCGCCGCGATACTTTGTTCCAGAAACAAGAAGACCCATATCCAGAGTGATAACCTAAAATGATCCTAAGAAATATTATTAAAATGCCCCCAGCAGATTTATTTTACTTTCACAATCTCTTTGTAAAAGTCCATTCTCAACTCCTTCTTAGGGTTATCAATGAACAAGTTTTGCACAATTTGAATGACTGTCGTCAGCACTAATTTACCTTTTTACCCTCAATAGTCTCGGGGACATTACCGCTGGCTATTCTCTGCGCGAGCCCTTCTGCAATAGCTGTTTTCCCGACACCAGGTTCTCCAATGAGGCAAGGATTATTTTTTGTTCGTCTACCCAAAATTTGAGTAACTCGCTCCACTTGATCCTGCCTTCCGACAACAGGATCTAGTTTACCCTAGATTACAAACCATCCATTCAAATCCAACGTAATAATAATAAATAATACATAAACGAATACAATTGAGAATTCATAGAAGCACACCTCTTCAGCTAACTTTGTTAAATTAGTACCATATTCCTCTAACGTAGGCATTTTATTTCCCGAGGCTCCACCAACTCCCCCAACACTAGTAACTGTCTCTGCACTCTCTCCCACCATCCTAATAACCTGTTTTCAAAATGCATCATCACTCATCCGGCAACTAGAAACTGGATAATGACAAAAAATGAAAAAGTTACAATGCATACCTGAGTCCTAATATTATCAGGGTCAGCACCTAAATTCTCAAAGACTCGGGAAGCCACACCTTCACCCTCACGGAGCAATCCCAGCAACAAATGCTCAGTTCCAATGTAACTATGACCTAAATAAGTAAAAAGATGTCATTTTCTAATTTCAAAGCAGTTTTTATCAGCATTTGGTGCAAAATGCAACAATGTCACAACCAGAGGTAAAGTGTAATATTAGACGGCATAGCTACAGGTATGACAAGAGAGAAAGTGCAAAATCATACAAATGCTGATTTAAAAAACAATATGAGAACCACAAAGAAATAAAGAATCAAATACCAATGGCGCGGGCTTCATCGAGTGCGAGCTCTAAAACACGCTTTGCACGAGGAGTAAAAGGTATTTCCACCGCAACAAAACCAGTACCCCTTCCAATGATTTTTTCCACTTCTACACGAGCATCTTTCAAATTTAGGCCTAACGACTTAAGAACCTTGGCAGCAATTCCTGTGCCCTCGCCAATAAGCCCCAATAAGATCTGCTCGGTTCCAACAAAATTGTGACCGAGTCGTCTTGCTTCTTCTTGTGAAAGCATAATGACTTTTATTGCTTTCTCTGTGAAGCGTTCAAACATGGCTCGTGGAGCCATACGCTGCTTTCTTTTTGGATTAATATAGCTGGTTGTTGCTGTGATCTTCGATTGGAGTGTCTGCTCAGCCCAACAGCCTCTCATGTCCAAGGCATTCGCTTGACGCAATCCAGAGAAACTTGTAAGCCTTATCGGACCTGATTGTGTGCTGCATAACATAGAAGCTGCCTTCTTTGTTCTATTAGATCCCTTCAAATTCCTATTATATAAACAAACCGACGAAGGCAAATTGGTTTGTGTATGTAAAGTGTGTCCCATCTCTGCCTGTTGTGGCAGCTTTTTCGCTTGATTAGATCCCTTCAACTGTCCATATATCAAACCTACTGAAGATGAAAAATTGGTCGGTTGAAGAAATGTGTGCGCCATGTCAGCCTACAAGGAGTCTGCATAGAAAGTAAAAACAATCAGTAAGCTAGGACCACTTTACCAAACAAAAAAATTCAGTTCTGTTTGTTTGGGGGATTTTCCCCAAAAAATATTAAATCAAATACCTATTTCTCATTTTATATATTATACTAAAAATCAATTTTACATTCAAAACATCACATCAACACCTATTTATATCATATCATACAACTATTTCAATTCAAAATTTTTACTATTCGAATCTCAACTCGAAATCCAATCCTCTAAACAAACACACTTAATGGGATGCTTCAACACTCAACCAACTGTAAAAAATCGTAACCATAATAGCTTATAACTTCAATCACAACAAGCTTTACTGGCATCCCTCACTCTAATGGAGTTGCATTACCAGATAACCTAATATTATGATGCAAATCCAAAGTTTCTGTTTTTCAACTTGCAATAAAGCAAGAATTGTAAGTTTTTCAGAGTTTCCGAGACGGATGAACCAATTGGTGACATAAATCCGAAAGAAATTGAATCATATGTGAAACGAAGCATTTGTTTTTCATGGCCAATTAAAACAATTAGCACTATGGTAATGCAAACATCAAGCCAACTCCAATTCAAATCCAATTTTCAAAACATTTTATGGCAAATTTGATCTTATCTTTTCATCCAGAACTAAAGACGTGTTATGCAATTTATCTATCTACAAATGCACTTTTCTATTTCCTCATATTCAATATCCATTTTACATTCCACAAATCCAAAACAACATCAACACAATCTAAAGACAAGTAATCAAACCCAAAAAAACTTCAATCCATCATAGAAATAGCACCATGTGATGTGAAAAGATATTTATAAACCAAGAAAATTCCAAACGTGAAAACTTTCTGTCCACATTTTATAACAAAACACGTATACATTTACATACATACATATATATCAACATGGAGTGCCCGAGAGGATAAAATAGAGACGAATTTATTGCCTGGAAGATAAGACAAAAAGCATGTTCATTTATAGCCACAATCTTCCAACAATTCAACGTTTCACTGTCAAACAAGCAACTCTCCCCAACATCTCAACACATCACCATCGATACACGCACGCATCACATTACCGAGGGAAAAAATTACAAATAGGCAAATCAATTAACCCAACTTCAAATGAAAAACGCCATCAAATCATACATAAAGTTCGGATAAATCATTTCCCCCCAAAAAATAAACCCTAACGACCAATGCACCAACAAAACGAATTCAAATCACAACAAGAACAAAAATACCTCACAGTTTATCCGAAAAATCCACGCGCAAACGAGCAAGGATCGGGAATAAATACCCAGAGACGACAAAAATGGGTCCTCCTGTGGCGAAAACAAAGACCCCTTGCAATGGCCTGCAGATTTTCCAGTACGAAAAGAGTGGCAATTATAGCTATATATGCGCAATACCTTCCTCTGGGGCTCAACTCATTCTGACCGTCGGATTGGATTCCTAGATTCGGTCACCCAGATGAACGGCCGAGATCGCAGTTACATTGAATCCTCTGGAGACGAACCTCTCAGAGGTCTCTTGATTGATGCCTTAGACTGTTGTACGTTATGCTCGCAATGGGCTGTTGTACGTTGGTTTCCGCGTTGGAGGGTGAGGGTATAATGGTAATTGTAGGAACTGAAGGTCAGTGCAGGCGGCGGAGGTGATACGAAGGGTGGTTTGGTGAGGTGTGAAATACCGAAAGTACCCCTGATTAAATGCGGTGCTTACAATTTAAATTACTTGGTATTATTAGTACAATAATATATATTACAACTATATACATATGAAATAAATAATCCGATTGAATAAATTAAATCCATTACTTATACCTTTATTAATAGATAAATTATTCAATACATAATATTGAGATAAATTCCAGCTAAAAAATTATTCATTATATTAACTAAGTTCAATTTAAAAAATAAAAATAAAAACCAATATATTTATTTTTGTTTTTTATATTATAAATATTATATTTATATTTATTTATATGACTTTAATTTTTTCACTATTTAAAATTAGAACTAACAAAAATAAACATAGTCCGAAAATTTGATCCGAATCCGATACGAAAAATAATATTTGAGCCTAGAAAAATAAGTTTAAAAAAATTTGGATTGTGTCTAACCCAACTTGATTGATAAATTAAATTTATTTAAAATAATAATTTTATAAATATATTAACAAATAAATTTATGTACAAAATATAGGCATAAGTTAATAGTTAAGGTTTGGTATTGTTTTTATTTGGTTATGGGTTCAAATCAATCCGAAATTGCTGGTCTATTTAAAATTCAAAACTCAACTCGAAAATGAATCCATAAATGTATTTTTTTTATTTGAATAATAATTTAGATTAAAAAAACTCACTCATAAATATATATATATTTTTTGAATAATAATTTAAATTTAATATTTTATAGAAGAAAATAATACTATAATTTTAACAATAATAAGATGATTGTACAATTTCTTTAAAAAATACTAATAAAATCAAATTCCAAAGAAAATAATAATAGTAATTAATTTTTTTTTTGTTTTGCTAGGTTTTTATATTTTTAAATAACTAATAATAAAAAAAAATAAAAGAAAATGGTAGTGTGTTTGTTTAGGATTTGACTATTGGATTTGAATTTTAAATAGTAAAATTTATGAACTTGTGTAATTATTTGGTGTAATATTTTGAATATAAAATTTATTTTTAAGTTTGAATAGTAAAAATTTTGAATATGTATAATTATTTGATATAATATTTTAAATATAAAATATATTTTTAGTATAAGTATAAAATAAAAAATAAAGGTTTCAGTTTATTCTTTTTAAGCTATTGTGTGCTATTTAGGGCTACTCAACATATTAAGAAGTAGTCACACAACACATGATTTCAAAGCACACAATCTGATAATTCATATTTTACGTTGTGCTTTGTGAATGTATATTATATGCTAAAATTAATAATAGTATGTGTTATGTAAATTATTATAATATGTTGTCTATTATATTTATTATAGGTATTAAAAATTAAATGTCTAAATTAAATTGAATATCATATACAGAAGAAAATAAAATTCTGATATAATAAATATGTGATATTTAATTATACACATATGTTAATTTTTTACAATAAATATCAATCATTAATGCAAAATCGGCTTAAAATGGAAGATATCGTGCAAATATTACGTGCATAAATAGAGCTATAATAAATTTGACAGCAAAATTAATTAATTTCATTAATAAATAAAGTATTTAATTAATATCTTTTGAAAAATGAAATGATATAATGATCTTGGCGAAAAGAGAATGCGCACAATCAAATCCTTTTAAAAATGGAAAACATCTGATGAAAAATGAAAGATTATAAAATGTTTATGTTGGCCAATTAGGACGCGGACATCATTAAAAAAGGAAGCCAAGGACACCCCTTACCTATAAATAGGAGTCATGGCCAGTTCATTTGACACACCGAAGTTCATTTGAAGACTCGCGCAAGGCTAAGTCTCTCTCGACTCTCTGCAATGTTCTTAATTGTTCTTCGTATCCTTCGAAGTATTATTCATTGAAAGTCACTAATTTGAACAAATAATTCAATATTGGTTGACGAATTGATAGAGTTAACATTCTTCGTCGTATGCCCAAGCCGGAGGGATGATCAAAGTTCCGAAAGCCGTTGAATCCGTCAAAGTCAATGAAGAGCCTCCAAAGTTTATCCAAAAGCTTCAAGGTGTTCGTCGTTAAAAGCATCAACTAGGTCTTCTTCGATCCAAAAGTCAAATAGACACGCTGCCAAAAGTGTTATGAAGTGCCAAATCCACTTCCTCAAATCAAGGTTTCAGATCGTCCAAAGAAGACATCAAATCCAAAGTCAACGATCAAATTGCCCATATGGATACCAAAGCTCTCCAAAAGCTAGCAAAGTCAAACAAAAAATCAAAGCTTCGGATAGTCAAAAAAAGACATCAAATCCAAAGCCGACAGTCAAATTGCCCACATAGATACCAAAGTTCTCTAAAAGCCGACAAAGCTAAACTAAAGATCAAAGCATCGGATCGTCTCAAATCCAAAGTCGACAATCAAATCGTCTGCACGGAGACCAAAGCTCTCCAAAATATGGCAAACCAAACTGGAGTACCAAAGCTATCTCCAAAAAGATCAAAACTTCGGATCATCCAAAGAAGAAATAAAATTCAAAATCGACGATCAAATCGCCTGCACGGAAACCAGAACCCTCTAAAGTATGGAAAAACCAAACTGGAGTACTAAAGTCATCTCCACAAAGATAAAAGCTTTTGATCGTCCAAAGAAGACATAAAATTCAAAATTGACGATCAAATCGCTCACACGTAGACCAAAGTCCGGCAAAGCGAAACCAAATACCAAATTCCTTCGGATTGTCCAAAAGAGACATCAAATCCAAAGTCAAAACTGATGATCAAAATTACTCGGATAAAGACCAAAGCCCTCCAATATCCGGCAAATTCAAATCGAAGATCAAATCCTTTCGGATCAAAGAAGCCATTTAAATCTAAGTTGAAAAACAAATCGACCCGGAAAAAAGAATCAAATGACACATTTAGATAATATAACCCGCTTTAAATTCAAATTAAATATAATTTGTCGAAATTTTTTTATTAAAAATAACATAAATTTTTTCCACACTTGTATTATATTTATTATTGATTTTTAATATTTTGTGTTTCTTATATATATTGAAGGTTGACAATGTTATATTAATATTATGAGTTTGTTCATTTAATATGTTTAAGTGGAACGATTCCATCTCAATAATATTTTTAAAAAATACAATATATATATATTAATATAAAAATATAAAATATATATTTATTCAACTATAAAAAATTAATAATTTAATATAAAATATATATATATATATATTTTATGTTATCAATATAAATTTACGTCTCTAACATAAAAAAATCAAGTACATCCAATATAGAAGATTTATTTGTAGACATGAGGCTCATAGCCCATTTTCCATTCCCCATAACTAACTACAATTGTAAACGTAGTTTGAAAGTATTTTGATAATTTTTTATTATTTTTAAATGTACTTTTAAAGTTTAATATTTAAAAATAATATACGAAACTACCCCCCACAAATAAACATATGTCCCTATATATTTATTAAGCAATCTCATGATGAAAATTATGATCGTATTTTTTAATAATGGAAGTATAATTTTTCATAAAAAAAAATACATATGTTTTATTCAAAATAAATATAAATACAAAATAAACAAAATCAAATTGCATATAAGTTTATATAATTATTTTGAATATCTATAATATTTAAAATAATTCTTTATAATATTAATTTTCATATGATGGTGTATTTTTATCTTCTGAAATTTGATATTTACAAAGTAAAATAAAAACTATCCGTTACTATTAATCAAGAGTCTTTATACACTAGATTAAATATATTTTAAATAAATAATTTAATCATTCGTATATAATCAGACTATAATTTATATAAATGCCTTCAATATTAATGTGGTTTTATTGCATTTAAATAACTCACGGGAAAAGGGAAAAGGTAATGAAGAATACTGCTTCTCACTACACTATTGCAACCTAAGTCTATATACATAAAAAAAAATAAAAAATAAAATAAAATTATAGGTCATATAATTGGATACACTTTTAATTATTTTAAATCTCAAATTTTTAATACAAATATATATATATATATATTTAAAATTATATATACTAACATGGTATGAAAAATAAATAAATAAATAAAACATATCCTTAGTTAATAAAAGTTTGATCCACTTGTGCAATTTGTACAGACAGTACATTTATTACATATACAAATTTGCAGCAACATTTTACAATGTCTTAGGCCATACGTAATGCTACAAATTTGTTAAATGAAATTTCGAATAATAATAATAATAATAATAGAAATAGAAATAGTTTGGCATTTCAAATGGCTGTAGAGTTTTGGAGGGACCTTGAATTTTAAATAAGATAATAAGATGATATTCGTTTAAGTATTTAAATATATTTGATTTGAAATCAATTAAAATATTTTAAAAAATATAACTTAATAAAATATATTCAATATATATATATAATATTTTGGCTAGCTATTATCTCACTTATTTGTTGGTTCACATATATTGACAAATCTTAATTGGGGTCTTTTAGGTGAACTTAGGCCAAAATAATAATAATAATAATAAAAATAAAAACAAAAAAATAAAAATAAAAATACACATTATTAATATGACTAATTTAATCAATAAATTTAAATTTCATTCAAATAGAAGATATGACAATACGAAAATCAGTTTATTAAGAATAATTTTAAATGATACAAATAAATAAAGCAAATATATATATATATATATATATTGCAACATA